CACTAACTCTAATAAATTCTCCTTGCCTCCTGAAAAGAGCCCCAGGCAATGAGAAACTGTTATACTCTGTTACAGGCTTTGCTATCTGTTTTAAGCCACTGCCTTACAGTGAGATTCAGCTGTTTTTCCAATAGGAATTCTGGATTGGGTGAAAAGTATTCAGAATGAAATCAACACCTACAGCATTGGGCTATTAGGCAATAGTGTTCACATTTGTGATTGATTTTTGGAAGAATCGGATTGTATTGGAATTTTGAAAGGGGAACTTCCTGTGCAATGGAAATCTCAGGAAATGGGATTTGTTTTAGCCTTTGAAGTACAAATCTCCATAGTGCCCTCCCCAACCCACCCTTTCTACCCGCTGGCAATCCATCATGGTTAGGAAAAGCTGAACGTGTGGTACTAATCTCGAGTTTCATATCTCAAAAATGTACATGTACAGCAGAATGTTCCATTGCTAAGAAGCCAAATCCATGTATTTTAAATTAAAATTAAAATGTACTTGGTAAACTTAGTCCTACAGATAAGAGTGAAGACAAATGTTGGTGTGATGTGATGAATCTAAAGCCAGTGTTCTGAAAACTCAAAGGTAACTTATTATGCGCAGAGTCTGCTCAGCAGCCACTCTGAGAAGAAAGTAGCTACAGCATGGCTGGTCTTGACGTTGGGTATAGAAAAATGATTGTTGTTGCATCAGACACCATTCTCAAGAAAAAGCATCCAGTTGGGTGTACTTTTATTATAAGGAATAATCAAAATACATAGTGTTTAAATTTTTGAAAAATTACTAAAGGAAGAGACACATCAATACTATTAAGTTACCTCAGAATACTTTCTTCATCCCAAAACTTAACCCATTGCTCCTGCCACTTTCTGAAGCAATTCTGCAAGTCCTCTTTTGTGTCTCTGAGGTCTGATAAAAAAATCTGAATGTTGCTGCTGAGTGCCATCCAAGGGAAAGGTAGGCTCATAAAAACATTATGGCGTGTGCCTGTCCACCTTATTTACCAGATCTGGCATTGTGTGACTTTGTGACTTCTTGCTCTTCTCCAAAGTCAAAATGACCGTGAAATATAAACATTTCGAATCTACTCAGGATATTGAGGCAACCACAGCAGCACAACTAAGGGTACAGAAGAGAACTTCAGAAGTGGTCCAGAAAGTGGCAAGAACGATGGAAGGAATGAGAAGGGGGGGATTTTGAGGAAGATGAATGGCAATGTACATTTTACTGTAATAATGTTTTTTAATGTAAACATTCGTATTTTTCAGTCATGCCTCATGTAAATATCACCATTGACTAAACAGCACCCAGAAGAGTCTACACTAGTCCATACTAGTTAGTCCTACTTGTTACCCCCTACCAAGAATGGTAGGAACTGACTCAAGGACAAAGTTTGGGCCATATTTGCATCTAGCTGTTAGAAAAAAAAAAAATCAGTAGCAAAAGGAGGTGGGACCGGTACCATTCCCTTTTCACCTCTGCTTGGGGCTGGACATTTACTGCTTTCTTCCAGTCCTTTCTGTCCACTGAAACGAACAGCATGATTAAACTCTGTGTCATATCATAGCATCCCACTTCTTCATTAGGATTATCCTAGCTATACTAGCATGGAGAGCCACTTTGGGTACTTAGCTTCTCCCACTTCCCTGTCACCAGATACAGATTAAGATTGTGGATTTCTGTGTAAGAAATTAAAATCTATGGTAAGGGGAAAAAAAATGAGAACCAAGACCTGTCATGCAAAGGTACAAGATCCCAACGATGAATGTAACTGTACTGTGTACCTAAAAAGTACCAATACACTCAATGAGAAAAAAAAGATGTAAAAGAAATTAAAATCTCATGGCAGCAACTTTCAGACTACACTGTTTTTGCACATGTGGGAATGTTTGTGACAGGGATATGTCAGCTTGCTGTGGAGTATGTGTGACAGGTACAAGTGACAGTTCTGTGTCAGTACTCTTGTTGCCCTACATGGGGTGATTAGTGATCAGGAGGATATTTTAGTATGAAAGGGAATACTCAGCATCTGTGATGACAAAGAACAATTTCAAACATGTTTTGAGGGCTGTTAGTACCATTTTTACATCTTTATTTTTTAACAGTTTTAAGAGAGAAATTGAAGACAAAAATAAATGTTTATCAATCCCTTGGAGACAGCCTTGATGTTCCTTTTCACCTTCCACTACAGATTCTATTTTAATTAAGGTTATTTGTTGAGTGACTCCTTATGACACAAAAGGAGGATTCTGAACTCTGAGCTAAAAATAAGCAAAAGTAACCTTAAGAGAAACCTGATAGGTAATGAATACCTCTTCCAACTTGTGAGGACCCACACAAGAGAGGTTTTAAAGAGAATTTTAGGGAAACCATTAATGTTTATTCCAGAAGTGAAAACTTCCGATCATCGTGTAGTACAACTAAGGTACAATCTCAGCACTGTCACTTGCACATGACAGAGCCAACATGATGTCCTGCAAGCAAATCCATCTCAGTTGCATATATCTTTGCATGAGCAAAAGCTGTTCTTGTGATGAAATGATTTGATTTGAACCCATAAGAATTCACGTCTTTATAAAGCTATATGACAATGACAGGAAATTCTATGTAATTTAGAGATGCATTCTTCTTAAAATAACACTTAGCTAGATATTTCAATTTTAGGATATCATCTATAAAGTTAAATAATTTTGCTATATATTTATTTGATGCTTTTAATTCTCTGTCTGAGAAATGTCTGTTCATTTCAGATGCCCATTTTTGATTCGGGTCTTTATATTTGGGGACCTTGTTTTTTTGAGTGCTTTATATATTCTAGATAATAGTCCTTTATCTGAGGAGCAGCTGATAAAAATTTTTTCCCACATTGTAGGTTGTCTCTTAGCTCTGTTGTGGTTTCTTTTGCAATGCAGAAGCTTTTTAATAAGATGAGATCCCAGTTGTTGATTCTTTGTGCTAGTTCCCATGCTACTGAGGATTTGTTCTTGAAGTCTTTTCCTATGACAGTGTCTTCAAGGGTTCTGCCTAACTTATCTTCCAGCAAATTTAGTGTCTCTTTTTTTGACATTTAGATCTTTAATCCACTTGGGTTTTAGTTTAGTGCATGGTGAAAGATAAGGGTCTAGTTTTAATCTTTGGCAGGTTGAAATCCAGTTTATCCAACACCATTTAATAAAGAGGCTATCTTTCCTCCAGGGAGGATGGTTGGCTCCTTTGGCAAAGATGAGGTAGCTGAGTACATCTGCAGTTATTTTGTATCTTCCAGTCTATTCCACTGATCCTCAGGTCTGTTTCTTTTCCAGTACTATGCTGTTTTTATCACAGTGACTTTGTAGTATAGTTTCAAATTGGAAATTGTTATACCTGCTGCCATGTTTCTGTTGCCTACGATGGCTTTTGCTATTTAAAGTCTCTTCAGGTTCCAAATGAATTTTTGGATTCTTTTTTCTAGTTCTGTGAAATATACTGTTGGAATTTCAGTTGGCGTTGCATTGAACCTGTATAGCAGTTTTGGTAGTATGGCCATTTTCACTATGTTGATTCTTCCTACTCAAGAGCAGGGGATATCTTTCCATTTTCTTATATTCTCTTCAGTCTCTTTTTTCAGAGTGCTGCAGTTTTCAATGTAGAAGTCTTTTGCTTCTTTTGTTATATTGATTCCTAGATACTTCATTTGTTGGGATGCTGTTGTGAAAGGAATTGTTTCCCTAATTTCTCTCTTAGTGAGTCTGTTATTTGTGTACAAGAAGGCTATTGATTTTTGATTGTTGACCTTGTATCCAGCTACTCTGCTGAAAGTGTCAATTAAGTCTAGAAGTCTTTTGGTGGAATTTTTTGGGTCTTCAATGTAGAATATCATGTTGTCAGCATTACACCTCACCCCAGAAAGAATGGCTGTTATCAAGAAGTCAACCAATAACAAATGTTGGTGGGGTTGTGGGGAGAAAGGAACCATTCTCCACTGGTGCAACCACTATGAAAATCAGTATGGAGATACCTCAAAGAGCTGGGAGTAGAGGTTCCATTTGACCCAGGCATCCCTCTGCTGGGTATCTTTTCAAAAGAATTAAAAGAATCATACCACAATGATATATGCTCACCCATATTTATAGTGTCACAGTTTGTAATAGCTAAAACTTGGAAACAGCCCAATTGCCCATCATTTGGAGACTGGATAAAGAAGATGTGGTTTTTCTATAAAATGGAATACTACTCAGCCATAAAGAATGAGAAATTAGTCATTCGTAGGAAAATGGATGCATGTTGAGGTCATACTCTTAAGTGAAATAAATCAGTCACATGTGTAAATACCAAATAGTTTCTCTGATGTGAAAAACTAAAAGTGTAAGTAAGATCCAAATGGTATAATTGACAATGTGAAATAGGAAGAAAAGGGCTAAAGGTGTAGGGAAAGTGGGAAGGGTAGGGGAAACAAAAAAATAAGGGAAAAGAAAAAAATATGAGAAAATGAAAAAATGGAAATAATGTTTTTATAAATAGGGAAGGGAGGAGGGGGTGAAGAGAGGGCAGGGGTATGGGGCAAAAATAAGAACCAAGACCTGTCATGTAAAGGTACAGATCCCAATGATGATTGTAACTGTACTGTATGCCTAAAAAGTACTAATAAACTCAATGAGAAAAAAAATAATTTTGCTATAAGTAGCTTGCACAAATCTTTACATTGCACCTGCCAGATAAGCTTCTTTAATGGAGCATTAGAAAGTTTAGAATGTGTATTAAACTTTTAAAACTCCAAGGTCCCATGTTGATAAGTTCATTTCCTAATACCAAGCCTCAATTTTGAGGTTCAAGCCTTGAGGAGCAGCTTAATTCACATTGATGAGCATTTTGCATTTAGGCCAAAAGGGAAAAAAAGGGTTCATGGATCTAAGCTCTTAGCAGAATGTAATAATCTACCTGCATTTCAGGTGCAAGTTTCTGAACAATCAATAGCTAATGAGGTTATAACTTGGTTCTTTCTCACTCTTCATTCAAGGCATAATTCAATCCGAAGACAACTCAACCTGTCAAACCCAGACTTCAATATCCAGCAGCTTCAAAAACAGGAACAGTTGACCGGAATTGGTAGAATTAAACCAGAATTATATAAACAAAGGTCATTGGATAATGATGACGGGAGAAGGAGTAACAGCAAAGCTTGTGGGAAACTGAACTTCATTTTGAAATATGACTGCGACTTAGAGCAGCTCATAGTGAAGATTCACAAAGCTGTCAATTTGCCTGCCAAGGACTTTTCTGGGACTTCAGATCCTTACGTGAAAATCTACTTGCTTCCTGATCGGAAAACAAAACACCAGACTAAAGTCCACAGAAAGACCCTAAACCCTGTGTTTGATGAAGTGTTTTTATTTCCAGTTCCCTACAGTGATCTTGAGGCTCGGAAACTTCACTTCTCCGTGTATGACTTTGATAGATTCTCTCGCCACGACTTAATCGGCCAGGTGGTAGTGGATCACTTCTTAGACTTGGCTGATTTCCCCAGGGAGTGCATCCTTTGGAAGGATATCGAATATGTCACCAATGTGAGTCCAGCCTTTCTTCATTTGAGGGTGGGCGGTGCTTCTTGATTAGCATGGAGACACACTTTTATTTGGGAAGTAAAGTAATAAATTCATGTAAATATGCTTACAGCTATTAATTTAGAACTTCTTTGTATTTTTCCAGAGACAGGTTTTTAACAATACTCGTTTTGAAATTTCTAAGAATTACTTATGAAAACTATATGAAAGATCACATTCTATCTTTTCTATTTTCTGATTCTTAGCAGTTCCCTAAGAGGTAGAAGATGTCTGTTCTTCTAATTACTCTTTTGAGCTTTCTTAGGTTGTTTGTGCTAAGTGGGTCGTCATATCCAATTCATTTTACTCTGCAGCTAAGACATCATTGCCTGACTCTGAAAGTGCTAACTCCTTCCTTGTATTCTCTTGTTGGCTCCATGGTCAGATCCTCAAATTTAACACTGGAAATGGAAGTGATTGAGAACAGCTGGCATCACATTTTCAAATGTAAAACTCACAGAGTCAAAGTTACAGAGAGATCAGTCTGAAAAGTAGCTACAGATGATAGCAAAATGGATTTACAGGAAAGCAAATCCAATTTAGAGGCTGAGAGGGAATACAGATGTGCCATGTAGTATCCTGTATATTCACAACACACAAGATCTCTGTCTAACAATCAAATATCTCCACTATTACTATTCTGTTCTCAGCCACTGTTATATACTGGGGACTCCCTCACAGTGCGGCTGGTACAAGGAATACTTTTCCTCCACATGTCACAAAGCTTTTGCCTGGAAAGTGTGGCACAGGGTTATGGTAGCCACTACTTTAATGACAGGGCCACTATAGTTATGCTGGGAAGGAAAAGAGTATCAATCGAGGTACTGGAAAAGGAACAGATAATCAGGAAAGGTTGGAATATATGCAAACCAAAAATGGATGTTGGTGAAAGCAAGGATTGTTTCCCCAATCCTGGTTATCAAAATCAAGTGCAGGTAAGTTTTAAGGAAATAAAATTAACAAGATATGACTGAAGAATCAATTCTCTCCCAGGACACTTACCATGTCCCCTTGGGCGGGGAAGCTGAGACACTGCCAGTGATGAGACTTGGACTCAGGTCTGATCTTGGGATAGGGTCAGGAGGGCTTGATCATACCATGTAAGAAAGCATCAGTTTCTATTTTTTGACAAATAGATTATATAAAATAGCTAGAAAGATTATTAGAAAGTTCAATGGGGATCCTGATATCGTCTTCTAGAGATTTGATAGAGCAACACTGTGCACAGAACTTCATAAAAATCTGGATAGGGCTGATTGCTAATGGGAACATTTGCACAGGTTCCCACAGTGCAGGAGTACACAGTGGTGTGCTTCAGAGACCTCTGGCCCTGAGATCACAGCCACTGCAGTGCCCTCCTGGGACCAAGGGCTTTCTGTCCACTGTTGGAAAATCCTAGATAGATTGTGAATTAAGAAGGATGCAAGATTATTTACCAAGGAGGAAAACCTGTAACCAATTTTCTAGGCCTTTTGATAGCCACAGAAGAATGGATGTCCTAAGAATGGAATTACAGGGTTTTTTTTTTATTCTGCAACATACTGTTTTTAAAATCCATTTTAAAAGTATTACTTGCAGCTGTTTTGACTATATATATTTTTAATGTGACTGTGTACAGAGATTATATAAAGGTCTGAAACTTGCCAAGATTTCATTTCTGTAATTTAGATATATATCATACAGTGTATGTAATAGATACAGATTAATGAAGGAATAATTAAGTGAACAGGCATGAACTCACCAGCTGAAGGACAGAACATTGCCAGTACTTTAGCTGACCCTGGATCTTCCTCCCTTTTTATATTCCTTCTCTGTGCAGAGAAAGCCACTATCCTAAATTTTATTTATATTGTGGGATGTGTGTGTGTGTGTGTGTGTGTGTGTGTGTGTGTGTAAAGCAATAAACATTTAGATTTTGTCTGTTTCTGCTTTTCATGGTTCTTCTTTGACTTGCTTCTTTTTTTCAGGCAGCACTGATTATGGCATTTCATGACAGAGGTGAATGGAGCAGATGAATATGCATTTTCAGTGCCATATTATATTCCATTACACTAATATATGAAAATTACCATTTTAATATTGATGACATTCGGGTAGTTATTTGTATTCTAAATAATTATGATTCTAATAATATATAATTCTAAATATCTCAGAAGAAGATTTTTGTACACATCACTTGGTTCACATACACAATAATTTCTCTATGGTGCATCCATGATATGCGTGCATGTAACACATATATGTATTAGACTTTTCTGGATAAGGACCTTGTCATCTCCAGAGTAGCTGTACAAATTGATCACCCCACTGGTGACGTTTGACAGATGATCCTACTACTTCACTTTCTCACCAACTGTTAATGCTTTTCACACCGATTAACATGTATGTGTGTGATGCATGTAAAATAGTATGTTACTGATATTTCTTTGGTTGCCAGTATGAACATCTTTTCCTGTTTCTTGGTCATTCATGTTTTCTTAATTGTGAAATATTTTTTTAGCACTTTCCTCTAACTTTTCTTTTTTATATATTGATTCATCTGTGCTCTTTTTAGTCTGGTTCTAAATCTTTTGTTGCTTATATGTATCAGAAATACTATCTTTTATTGGCCGGGGATTTAGCTCAGTGGTTCCGCCGCCTGCCTCACAAGCACAAGGTCCTGCGTTCGATCTCCGGTACCAAAAAAGAGATACTATCTTTCATCCTGTGGCTGTTTTTATATTCACCCTGTGGTGTCTTTTGATAAGTAGAGATTCTTATAGTGTCTGCTTTAATAAGTAGAGGTTATGTTTGATAACATAAAATGTAACAGTATTTTCTGTTGTAAGACAATTGTGTTTAAGAAGATTTTCCATATGTCATACAATATTTCTCCTATATTTTTTGTTAAAAGTATTAAAGTTTTGACCTTCTCAAATATAATTTAGTCCTCTTCAGAATGGAATTGTATATAAGTGGTGCCCTGTGTAGGCATCTTATGTTAGTCAGTTTGGGCTGCTGTATTAAATACCATAGGCTGGTTGGTTTAAATAATAGACATCGATTACTTTCGGTTCTGGGAGCTGAAAAGATCAAGGTGTTGACTGATTCATTTCCTGATGGGACTCTTTTCCTGGCATGCCTTCCCTCTCTGTCCTCAGGTTGTGGAGAGAGAGCCAGCTCTCTTCTCTCTCCCTATTTAAAAAAATTATTTTAATTATGTGTGTGATATATAATAGTTAACATTCATTTTGGGCAGTTGATAATATGTCTGTCTGTCTCTCTCTCTCTCTCTCTCTCTCTCTCTGTGTGTGTGTGTGTGTGTGTGTGTGTGTGTGTATGACATTTTGATCATTTTTGATCCCTTTACCAAACTCTCCCTACCTTTTCCCCTTTCTCTTCCTCTGATTTTCTTCCCTGTCCCAAAAAATCTGCCTCTCTCCTACCATTTCTCCTTTATTTTACTCTTTATTTTGGGGGTTCCTTTTATAAGAGAAACCATGTGCTTTCTGATTCTGACTTATTTAACATTATGGCCTTAAGTTCCATATGGACATTAATCCCATCATGAGCCCCACAAAGGTGACCTCATCTAACTCTAATTGTAGCCCACAAGCTTCATCTCCGAATAGACTCATGTTGGAGATCAGGACTTTAACATACACATTCTGAGGAGGGGCACAAATATGCAGCCTCTAACACATCTGTATTTATTTTTCTAAATGGATAAATAATCTTCTGGCACATTTTCTCAATAATATGTATTGTGTACTTTGTCTCATATAGATTTCTGTATTTGAAGAAATGTTTCTGGATTCTCTCTTCTGTCCTTTGTGCTTCTTGACAATCTCTACAAATAGCGCAATTTGCAAATTATTGTTCTACAGTATGCTCTGATGTCTGGAAGAGCAAATCATCCAGCCCACTTCTTTAGTTCATTCTTGGCTGACACTTGATTTTTCTCAAAAAATTTTAGAATTGAATTGTCAAGTCAAACAGAATTCTTTCTGGCATTTGTTTGGGTGCATATGAAGTCTATGGAGTAGGTTAGAGAAATTTTACATCTTTTATGATATTGAGTCTTTCTATTCATGACCATATTGTATTTCCCCATTTATGTAGTTCTTTTTTAGTTTTTCATTCAAGCCTGATAATTTTCTGCATGAGAATATTGCATGTCTTTTGTTAGATTTATTGAGAGGTACCTAATTTTGTTATTTTAAAATTATATGATGTTCTAACTATTGCTGATATATAGTTGAAACTTTTAAAGTATTTATCTTCTGTTTGGAAAATCTTGTAAAACATATATGTATATGTAGCTAGTAGCCAGCTAATTAAAAACTCTACCTTTGAGCTACATCACCAGTCCAGATATTCTTATAATTTGATTGTAGGCTCTTCAGACTTCTTTGTAAATAACCTATTATGTATGAATTACAACAGTTTTGTTTGTTGTTACCTAACCTGTACCCTTTATCCTTTTCTATACCTTTTGTACTTTTTGTTGTTCTTGTTGTATAATGCACAGACTTTAATTTAGAGCACAGCACTAAATAATAAATCTGGAAGTAGGCATCCTTGACTTGTTGCCTATTTTAAATGTTATATCTTTACATTTACATGAAGTAAGATTTTGCTAAGGATTTGTTGTATCTTAATCAATATTAAGAATGTATCTCTCAATTCCTAGTTGACTAAGGCTTTTTTAAAGATTGCAGCTGTTTTTTTACCAAATGCTATGTTTCAATCTGTTATTTTGGTCAATTATATTAGTTTTTAAATTTTGAATCAGCCTTACATTCCTAGAATAATCCAAATTTGCCTTGATGTATCACCTTCTTGCTACACTGCTGAGTTCATTCTGCTACTTCATTTTGCATTTTATGTGCATGACTGTCCTACTGTGCTGTTTGATTTGAAGTGAAGGCAGTTCTTGCTTTATAAAATTAGATTGCTCTTGCCCTGTGGCTCTGGAGGCATGG